GAGGCCAAGTCTTGCAGTACTTTCTATGTTATAGACTAGAATATGATATTACCCAAGTAGAGATCAGGACTATTGATACATTTTAAATAGTAGGATAACATGGTTGAATCCTTCATCCATTCCTGTAGCACATTATTACACACCTCCCTTCTGGCAATGATTACGATAGTTCCCAGTTTAAAGGGGCAGTGTGACATGATAACAGAAGTTAAGAGCACTGATTTCGGAGCCAAATTTCCAAAATTTGAATCTTGGCTCCATTGTTTCTAGTTTTGTGACCTTGGGCAAGTTTCTCAACCCCTCTGTACCTTATTTCCTTCAACTATAAAGTACTGATAAGAATAAAATTTAACTTTTAGAATTGCTGTGAGGAGAGATCTATTAATATACACAGAACACTTATGAGTCTTCTATCATTATTATTGTTATAATTTTGAATAAAGCCATTTACTATCTGTCCTTGTGAATCTCTACACCCTAGTGAGGAAGGTAGAAAATGAAGTAATAAACCATATGAATATGTAATTATAAATTTATAAAAATTCTATGAAAGCATCAAAGGGGTGCTTTGACAGAGAATAATAGAAATATGGGAGGGGTATCTCCTTTATTTAGGGTGCCCAGAGGATGTGATATTGAATATGAAGTCTGAAGAATGTGTCAAGCACTGTCTTCTCTAGACATTTTACCTAAGTCCATAACTTCATTGTCTACCTTTCTATGAGTGTGCTAGCCCTTTTAGGTTGCTATACTAGAATACCATAGACTGGGTAGCTTATAAACAATAGAAATTTATTTTTCACAGTTCTGGAGGCTGGTAAGTCTAAGATCAAGACATCAGCAGACTCTGTGTTGGAAGAGATCTTGCTTGCTGGATCATAAATGGCCTTGTTCTTTTGTATCCTCACATGGCAGAAGGGGTAAGGGAGCACTCTAGGACCTCTTTTATAAGGATGCCATTCATGAGGGCTCCCCTCTCAGGACTTCATCACCTCCTCTCTAAATACCATCACCTTGAGGGTTAGGATTTCAACATGTGAATTTTCAGAAGACATATTCAGCCTATAGCATTCCACTTCTGGCCCTTGAAAATTCATGTCCTTCTCACATGCACAACACCTTCATCACATCCCAAAAGCCCTAAAAGTCTTAACTCATTTCAGCATGAGCTCTAAAGTCTAAAATCCAAAGACTCATTTATATATCATCTAAATCAGATATGGGTGAGACTCAAGGTATGATTCAGCCTGAGGAAAATTGCTCTCCAGCTGTGAGCCTGTGAAGCTAACATGCTATGAACTTCTAGAGTACAATGGTGGGACAAGCATAGGATAGACATTCCCATTCCAAAAGGGAGAAATAGAAAAGAAGAAAGAACAGGTCCCAGGTAAGTCCAAAACCTAATGAATCAAACATTAAAACATTAAGCCCTAAGGTTCAAGAATAGTCTTTGGCTGGATGGTCTGTCTTCCAAGCCCACTGGTGTGGGGTCCACAGGCAGCTGGCAGGTTCCTACTGCAAGCCCCCTCAACTCCAAGGTCCCTCAGGTGTCTGGTTGCTGCCCTTTAAAAGTAACAATAAACATTCATTTGCTAGTACATTCCTGCCATAGCTGAACTAACTATCCAGATAATGATCACCTATACAATGCCCAGAAGCCTGACCACCAGAACCGGTCACAGCCCCATACCAGAGTCATGCAGTCTTACCCTTTCACAGCCCCCTCCCTTCCTTATCAACCCATTAGACACTTGTGTACGAACTGATCACACATCCTGTGACCCCTTGGTACCTCATGTAACCCTCCCTTATAAAGACCTCAGCAACTGACACTTGAAGCACCCACAGGCACCTCTTGTCTGTGTGGCCCACTTGTCTATGACAGTATACCTAATATACTCCTTTTCTATTTTCATCCTTTGTGTTTGGTAGGTTCTTTTACTACCCATGCATTGGCCTGCTGAATCCCATGACAACTGGGGCTGCAGTCTTGCCTGTACCTCATTCCAAGCTGAGCTCAGGGGCAGGTGGCTCTGCAGGCCTGGATTCAATGGAGCACCCTACCTGGGCTCCACTGACATTGCCCTAATGGGGATTACCTGTGGTGGCCCTGTCCTTTGAAATCTAGGTGTAGGCGGTCATTCTCTGGGGCCTTTACATTCTGTGTGCAGATAGAGACAGTGCTGCCCTGATGCTGCCAAAGATACTTGTGCCCTTTGGAGGGGCAGCCACCCTGTCCTGCACAGCAGGGAGGTCAACTGGAGCCATATCTGGAGTGGCCAAGGTACGTGGAATCAAAGTACAGGGAATGGAACCTGAAGTGCAAGGCAGTGCTGGGCAAGGCACTCTCAGTGTCTGTAGGTGCAGGAGGCCCCTCTTCTGGAACTTCTCTGCCTCCAGAGCCTTTGTGCTCTGGGCCTCTGAGGGTTGGGGCAGCCCTAATTATCTCTGAGTTGCCCTCAAGGTCATTCTTCTGTTGTCTTGGAGAATAGCTGCTAGTGAGATGGCTGATCCAAACTGATTTTCTTAGCAAACAATCTCTCAGGCATACACTTAGGGTTCTTTCCTAACCTTGCTTTCTCATTTTTTAAAACATAGATAGGCTGAGAATTTTCCAAATCTTAATGTTTTGCTTCCTTTTTGATAAGCAATTCCACCTGTAAATCATTTCTCTCTTTTTCCATTTTACTTGTTGATGAAAATAATCAATAAATAAGTTGTAATGTAATAAGCTATAATAGAAAACTGAGCCAAATTGAGAACTGTAGCCTTGAGGACAGCCTTTCAGACAACTATGAGGAACTGCTTCAAAGAAGCATGGTTTACAGCACAGTTTTATATTTTTTCAGAACAAAGAAAATCAAACGAATTGTGAATATATTCTTCCAAGGTTTCAAAAAAACAGATCAGCATGTATACAGTGAGTCAGTATGGCCTTGGCACCTGGGAAGGAAGTATTATTATTGAAGAAGTACCAGCATTGGTGAAACCGAGCAGGACCCTGTGGGGCCCTCCTGGGTACAAAAGTCTGTGTTGCCCATTTCTAATTTGGAGGAAAAAGGCTTCAGCCTCTTAGACCTCCCCAGAGTTCCATTCAAACGGTTTCTAATTAGGAAAGTAAGGAAATGCAGAAACAAATGAGGAGCAGTCAAGAAACAATAGTGCAGCAATGGGGCAGGGTCCTGGTTCCTCCTCAAGGGATTTACATAACAATCTGATGCCTATCTCTGAGTTCTTCTACTGGAACTAAGGCCCCCACCCAGGTGGAGGATGGAAACTTCAGGCTGAGCACAAGATTCCTGGAACATCAACCTGTTACCTTACCACCAAGGAATCAGAAGAAAGTCACACACCCTGCAGCCCTCACCCCAGACTTTGCCTATAAAAACTTTCCCCCCAAAACCATTGGGGAGTTGGATTTTTTGAGCATGAGCCATCTTGCTTGGCCCTGCAATAAATCCTTCTCTGCTCCAAACTGACGTTTTGGTTCATTTGGCCTCACTTGTGCAACAGGCACACTAGCTAGCTTTTGGCAACATTGGCATCCCAGGAAGGGAGGCATTAATCTTTATTTTTAACATGGATATTCTTTATTTCTGGTCAATATGTTCTTTTCTTTAATAATTAAAGCAGATGTACAGTGTATATTCGATAGGCCATAAACAGGCTATTTTAGTTAGCATAAAATTCAGGTTAACTTACGTATAAGCCAGAATGACTTCCCTATATCTCATTATGTGAAAACTTTTCTTGTTGTACTAAAGCGGTCAGGGAGAACCAGGTTGTTCCTTCAACACTTTGCTTAGAAATAGCTTCAGCTAAATATCCAGTTTCATTGCTTACAAATTCTACCTTCCACAAAACATTAGAACATGAACACAATTCAGCCAAGCTCTTTGCTACTTTATAGCAAGAACTGTCTTTCCTTCTGTTTCCAAGAATATGTTCTTTATTTCCATGTGAGCTCTCATCAGAATGGCCTTTAGCATCCATACTTCTACCAACATCTGGTCAGGATTACTTGGGTATGCTTAAGAATATTGAAACTTTCTCTATAGTGTTCCTCTTTACTTTCTGGACCCTTACCAGAATTACATTTAATGATTCATTCATGGTAATGTAGGCTTTTTATAGCATGCACCTCAAAATCCTTTCAGCTTCTACTCAGCTCCAAAGCCATTTCCCACATTTTTGGGTATGTGTTATAGCAGTATCTCACTCCCAGAACCAATTCTCTGTCTTAGTTCATTAGGTGTCTATTGTTATAGACATTTATTTCTCACAGTTTTGGAAGCTGGGGAGTCCAAGATTAAGGAGCCAACAGATGCAGTATGTGGTGAAAGTCCACTTCCTGGTTCATAGACAGCCATATTTTTGCTGTGTCCTTACAGAGCAGAAGGATCTCTCTGGGGTCTCTTTTATAAGGGCACTAATCCCATTCATGAGGGCTCTGGTCTCAAGATCTAATCAGCTCCCAAAGGCCCCACCTCCAAATACCATCACACTGGGAATTGGGTTTCAACATAAGAATTTGGGGAGCACACAAACATTTAGTCTACAGCAGAGTGACTCACAGATGTACTGCTCTGGCCTTGCTCTATCTGCTAACCTTTATACCTTTTATCCAATTTCCTGTTATACATTTATACCTTAAGTTCTCTCACAATCACATGCTCAGTATATCTAAACAAACTCTTTATCTTCTTCTTAAAGGCTGCAAAGAAAATATCACTGACAACTTATTTTTCTTTCATATTTTTATATAAACTCTAAAATGCATGATATGCCAAAAAAGCCACAATAATATATAAACTAGAAAAGAAAATGGAAAGACAAAGTCATCAGGCTTAAAAAACTACTACTAGTTTATCAAAAGGTTAATTTCATTATGTAGAAATATAATAAACTTACTTCTGTTCCTCAATTTAAGAGGCCTCAGGTAAGAGAAAGTGGAGAAATGGAAGCAGCTTGATGTAGTGTAGTGTCTTTAAAATACTTCATATCAGGATCCATAGAAAGAAATACATTTTACACTGCAAGCTAATACATATCTGTAAGTGCAAAGGCTCTGAGGTGACATGTGCCTGGCATGTTTGAGTGAAATACATACAGTGTTTAAAGGCAGACTGATCTGTGCTTTCTGACCCTGCACTTACTGGCCATTATGCCTAGGACGAATGACTGGATATTTGTTTCTAAGGTTTTTTTTTTAGCTTGGGGTCATTTTGACTTAAAAAATAATTTGTTAACTTTATGCTTTCCTTTAATGTTATTTTGAAATAACTGAATGAAAAATTCTAATTTATTAATGTTTAAATATCTTTGATAATTAATAATTAATATTATTAATATTAATGTTTAATATGCCCCCCCCTCCAAATTACACATTGTTGTAAAGATCCTGGCCATCCCTCCTTAGCAAGGCCTCTGTTTTGCCCTCTGGTCCATTTTAACCCTCAATCGAGAATCACGTATCCAAGCCACAGTGGGTCTCAGAAGTTTCCTTATTTGTGGTATGCTCAAATAACAAAATAACTCTAATGTATACAGTGTGTCTCCTCCTGGGGAAACTGTTTAAAAGAAGCATATACTTACCGGTAGGTTTGTTTAAAACTCATCTCCTTATTTTCTAATCACACCTAAAGCTGAGGGATCATGTCTTTCTTTTAGTATTCAGCTTTTTCATTGTAATTTTTGTATAGTGTAAATTATTGAAGAATGACATTAAAATGTATTTCATAGTAATGGGGCAATGAATAACATTTTAGCAATATCTTGAAAGATAACCAAAATTACCTAAACTCTTTAAAAATATAATACATTTACATGTAGCTAGAATAGTAAACCTAATTCAGTGCCTGTGTTTTAAAGGTGATAAGACTGCATTGATTGACTCAAAGAAAAGAGGGTCAAATAGGTACAAAAGTTAATCATTACTAAGTATAATTCAGCCACAGTAGTGGAAAGTTTTAGAAAACTATCATCTATAAATCCCATGACCAGTAAGAAAACATTCTATAATTAAATCATCAAAGTATGTGCTCTGGGGAAAGTATAAGAATGGAATTATAAAGATGTTAAATCGGTTATATGTTAAACTAGTAGGTCTAGGTCTGTGAAGCTTTTTCCTGCCTCATAAGTGAGACTAGAATTTGAACCTGATCTTATCTAAGAAATTCAGTACACGTAATGTTCAAACTGCTGTCGGAAAACAGGTTCTTGTCTTATGCAGGAAAGAATACAAAAGTGAGCCATGGTAAAATGAAAGTAGATTTACTCAGGGAGATACAGAGTGCAAGCAGTCTCAGAAGGCAAGAGAGGTGGTGCCAGAACATAGTTTTTATGGGCTGTATAATTTCATATGTTAATGAGTAGGAGGATTATTTCAACTGTTTTGGGGGAGAAGGGGATTTCCAGGAATTGGGCCCCCACCCACTTTTTGGCCTATTATGGTTAGCTTGGGAACTGTCATGGAACCTGTGGGTTTATCATTTAGCATGCTGATGTATTACAATGAGCCTATAATGAAGCTCAAGTTACCCTGGAAGTTGAATCTTCTGCCATCTTGGGCCAAGTTGGTTCTAACCAGTTTATGTCCTATCCTCAATTGCTATGTCATTCTTTTAAAGGTTGTGCCATGCCGCCTTTCCTCCTGTCTCAAAACTATTCAATTTTTAATCTGGGATTTGAAAGAGATTGATGTTTACACACTGCACTGGAACTTAACACTGTTTCCATGTAATTTGTTTACTGTTTTCTATTATTCAGTAACTCAAGTAAACCTTGTACTAAGAAAAAGAGATTCAGAGTCTTTTGTATAATCTCCACCTTTGTTTTACTATAACTTATTTTCCTCTTCAGGCTACTGTGGGTATTTATTATAACTTGATTCATTTCACATAAAAATACTCACCTGTGCAGAGATGAGGGAGTAAACAGAAGAATGTGCAGGGTTATTTGTCCTTGATTTGTAACCCTAGAAATTAGAGGGAATTTGCTTAATTCAGGTCCTCTTTCCCCCAATTGAGTTTTCTTCCTCATAAGCAAAAGCACTCAATGCTATTCCATTTTTGTCACCTTTATTGTCTGTAGCCTTCCAAGCCACAAATTGGTTTATTCCCTTGATTTTCCGTGGAACTTTACAAAGCTGCCAGAACCCATTGTCTTATGATTTTTCCTGTGTGAATTAAAAGTCTATTTACTGTGCCATAAATCTACCTGCTGGTGATGACCTTTGAGAATTCATTGCTCTTTCATCAACCTTGACACTAAATCCTCTGAGAACTGTCAAATCTACCACTATTGTACAATGGTAAAAGTAGTTATACATCAGAGACCAAAGTGCAGAGAAGAGACTAGAATATGGCTGAAAAATGATAGGCTGATCTTTCACTCGATTCTCCTTATCTTCCTTTCTCAGGGTTGTATTTATGGCCTTGATATCCCCAGTAACTACAACGCATCCCAACCTTAGCTTGTAGCTTCCCACATTCTTACTGCCATCCCTCTCCTGCTAACTGACCCACCTGAATACTCTACTACAGCAACTACTTGACTGGCGTCCTTCAATCAGCTGACTCTTCCCCTTTCAATCACTGATTACCTAACTCAGTTCCTCCCTCCTCTCCTTACTCAGCTTAGATTCCATGACCCTTCATTGTAATCATCCTCCCGAGTCTCATGCCCTCCATCGGACTCACCTGATGAAGATTTAACCCCTTGTTAAGTCCTGTTTTCTTCTTTTCTGTGCTTCCACCAAGAAGCCGAGCATTCCTGAAAACAAATTAACAAACTCAACTGTGCAGACTGAATTTGAGGACACAGACTTCAGATGGGTATTAAATACTAAGACGAAATTTCCTATGATGTTTCCTTTCCCACTCTCTGAAAGAGGCTGTGTCACATGTCCTCTCTCTTCAAACTGCTTTTACTCCCTCTCCTATCCTCACTGTCAACTGATAAAGTTGTCTCAGTTGACAAAAATAGTAGCAATCACAAGAGATGTCCTCACTGTCCAACTACCAAATCAGTCAAACTCTCTGCACTTGACGCCAGGCTCACTGCCTCTTCTTCTGTTTCCTGCTCCTACCTCCCCACTGGGCACTGGATCCCATCCCTTATTGCTCTTTCTGCACTTCCAGCATTTGGAAGAACTTCACTTTTGCAATTATTCCCTCTTCAAGGCAAATAGTTCTCTGTTCTGGAAGCCAAGTCCTCCAGAGCCCTAGGGGTCATCTCTGTGACATTCTTATTGAATCATTTTCTACCTGTTGGAGAGGAAAAACCTTTTGTCTGCTCTCTTATGTTTAGTGAATGGGGTTCTGCAAATAAACAGACAAATATGAGACTGGCATGAGAAAAGAAACGTTTATTCATGTATGCATAAGAGTTCACAGAAAAATGTGACTCAAGGAGGTGATTAGAATTGGGGGCTTGTATACTATTTTAATAGGCAAAGGGGAGGGAGAGAAGGGCATTTTTGGGAAAACAAATGACTTTTAGGAAAGATTAATTGGCCCTTAAGAGAATAGACAGGAGATGTGATAGTTGTAAGCTCTATGACAATCTTTCTAGGTTGGAAAACTCCAAACACTCCTGTGGAGAGGATTTATGATAACTGAGTTTTGGGGAGGTTCTTGATTCCAAGTAGATAAGGGAGTTTAAAAGCCCATATTGTCAAGTGCCTTCAGTTTAAAAAAATGTTTATGCTACAGTGGCATATTCAGCACTGTGCTGAATCATTCTCATTGGCATACAAACACACTCTATCTCCTATCTTAATAACAAATGCTGCCTCATCATATCCCTCTTCACCTACTACTCTATTTCTCAACTCTTCTTTACAGTAGCCAGAGTGATATTTTAAAAATGAAGATCAAATCCTGTCATCTCCTGATTAATTCACTGGAAGCTTCACATTGCACTTAGAATACAATCTCAACTCCTTGCTCTATTCAGGAAACTTCTGCATGATGTGGTCTCTGCTCACTTCCTTGCTCACATTTATATTTCTCTCTCATTGACACAACTATGTCTTCCAGAGAAACTAAACACAGAATCCAATTTCTCTGAGAATAGTATGAACAGTGGACATAAATTATATCTCTTTGGGACAAACATATAAGAGACAAAGAACAAACTAAAGAAGATTTACTAATCCTGCAGAATTTGGAAAATCATTTTAAAGTTGTGCCTCGAGTATATTAAATGCTATTTTAACGGTATGAGTAGGGTTAACACATCCACCTTGGGTCACCTAGTCACTGGATTGTCCATGGTCAGGTACTTTGTATTTACAAGGGCCAAGTGACATGCCAGGAGCTGATTTTCAAACAACAATGAGCTCTTTGTCATGGAAGGCACAGCCCTGCTCCAGAGCCCTTCCGGTTTTGCTCTGTGAAGTCATACACAGCTTCTGTATCCACCACGGCTAAATCCTGCCCAGGGGATCTGCAGGGACATATGGACCAAGAAGCAGGAAAGCTTGCAGCACAGCCTGGACCTGACGTCGAGTACTTGTTATTCTGACGACTCTCAAAACTGGCAGCATTCTGGTCACCAAGAAATGTGTCAAAAGGGTGTTCTCAACTGTTATACTTATGTATATGTCACCTGCAAAGCTCAAAGAGGCCAGGATGAACTGTCTCTCTTTCTTAGTGGTAGAGGGTATAAAGTATAACCTTTACCTAGAATTTTATCATCACCTAGATTTGACAATTGGTGTTTACTGCATCACATCTTTTAAGCCATTTGTTCATTTATCTTTACATTTCAAAAATCTGCAGACTTAAGACCAATACATACTTATGCTCAGTATTTAATGGTAAAATTTAAAGGTGTTGCAAGCACAATAAGACAAAAAAATTATATACCCATGAATTATTTGAAGGTTTATTCCTCAGAGTGACTAGCAGTGATTTGTCTATCTTCCCCAACAGGCCAGCATATGTAAACAGGAGGGTGCTTGTGAATGCCATGTCCCCTAATAAAATCTCCTGGAGTGAGAAGGGAGGGGGACAAATGGCCAGGTTCCTGGGCCTAATGAATGAATCCTAGTCCCTGCTTCAGCCTACCTTTAATCAGGACAAGAAAAACTTGCTGGCATGAATGGAGAATCTTACCTGGCATTTCTTCTAGAGGGAAGGATGCTGGGGCCCTTATCCAGATTGGTAGAAAACATCCATATGGGACTGATTTGGGCTCAGGGGAAGAATGTGGCCTAGAGTTTCCCCATCCTGCCTTAGGAACACTGCCATGTTCTTTATATATTCCTAGTTCTTAAACTCAATGTCTGGAGTTTGATTTTTCCATTTTCTAGTATGGCACTTTTAACTTATTCCCTCTTTGGACATTAATGCTCTGCTTTGGCCATTAAATTTCCTGGCAATCTTAACCACAAAGCTACAAAGGGAATTCCAGCTTTCTGACATGCTTTAAATGCTCTGCACATAATCTCAATGACTATTCCAGTTGTTGGGGATCACGGGACTACCAAAGATTTGACTAATATGAAATGTGTGTTGAGACTGGTAAGAAACTTGATCATTAAAGAGATTTACATTTGAAAAGTACATAAAGATTCTGAAAGGTTGGTGGGGCCGGGGTTTCTCTTCAACAGAGAAAATCAAGCTTCTTTTAATTTATAACTTGCTCTTTTAATTAGTATTTGCCCAGTGATACAGGTCAAGTGTCTGAATCAAAGGGATAGCAGTTTGCAAATTCCTTTAGCAAGCTGTAGGTAAATATGGAATAGTCAGCTACATTCAAATCACTTTTCTGCACCAGAAGGAACATCCTTTAGGAATGCTACTGTATTTAGGATTGCGGCTTTCTTATGTACATACCCATGACTGCTTAAGGGCCCACTCTAAACAGTTGTGCCATTTTACATTCATACCAGTATTTTGTGTTGACCTTTTTTTCTCTATCCCAGTTACCTTTAAGTGAAAGTGATCTGTCTTTTTTGATAATATTGGGATCCAGGGCTGGCTATCCCAAAATGTACATCAATGGCATACTGATTACTTTGAATTAAAGTTACTTAAGAAGCAATCAATGCAAGAAGAACACTCTGACCCTTCTTTCTGTCTCCATGAAAGCAGGAAATAAATCTCTCATGTGAAAGTTGTACTTGCCATATCTTGAGGTAGAAGGCCACCCTTATCACCAGAGATGGGGAACCCGGGCTAAGAAGCTATAAAAAAAAACCTTGTTACTTCTTTAATTCACTACCCCAAGCCCAAACTCCTTTTGGATTCTTCACTAATAAGGCACCCAGAACCTAAGTTTCTTTTTCCTGTCAATTACTCACAAATTTGTTTCTTTGTCTAAAAAATATAAAAGCTGTTTGCTTTGGCCACTTCTTCTGTGCGAACTTAAAAAAAACCTTGTTACTTCTTTAATTCACTACCCCAAGCCCAAACTCCTTTTGGATTCTTCACTAATAAGGCACCCAGAACCTAAGTTTCTTTTTCCTGTCAATTACTCACAAATTTGTTTCTTTGTCTAAAAAATATAAAAGCTGTTTGCTTTGGCCACTTCTTCTGTGCGAACTTCCATGCACATGATTAAAATTTGTTTCTTTTTCTCCTTCTTTAGTCTGTCTTGTGTCTAGCCACAAGTGCTCAAGAAAGGTAGAGAGGGAAATTTCCCCCTTTCTGATAATAAATTAATGTTAACCCTTAAAAACAAACAAATAAGATACTGCCTTCAATATAGAAGACACCCTACTCAAACAATTATGAAATGGAAAGCACATATGCTCTAATAGGAGAAATGAAAGGTGGAACGATGGGGATGAGAATTCACACTTAATGGAGGTATGTTCTTATACTGCTCATCGCAGCACTGCTGCTGTATGCAGTAGCCTTGATTTGATGGAAACCTTTGTTTCTAGGTTTTTTCTCTAGCTATAACTATTGATGAAAGCTTATTTATGGAACCTTATGGAACTCCTAAAAAGGACAAAATTACTAACGTAAAATGTGGAAACAAAATGCTTGTTTTTCAACTAGCTGTTAAATAAGCTAACTTTGTCTATTCCATGTAACAACTCTAACAGAATATCTATGAAAACTGGAAAATACTTATTTTCAACTGCAAAAGACCATTCTTTGAAATCTCTTTGGTGTAACACATAGTAACATTTGCAAAGATTGTCCTTGAACTACTTTCTTATTTAATTAAATAACCCCAAGAGTCAACAAGTTCTCCTTATTAATAAAAGTTCTGTTAGAGGATGGTTTGTTGGGCTTTTTGAACATCTTTGATCATGTCCAGTCCCATCCTGGAACACTGATTGCACTGAGAACATGCTTGGCTCTTTGTACAGTAGACTACATTTGATTATTGGTTCCTGCCTTGCTGATGCAAGCTATATCACAGATTTATTTATTGTTCAGCTACAGATGAACTGTAACCCATGATGACATTTTTTTCCATGGACTATTGCATACCGTGTTGCTCAGGAAGATTCTAGGGAAACCTGTGAAGGGGTCCCACTGTAGAAGTTCTGTATCTCTCTGAATAGCACTGTAACTACACTAGTAGATTCCCTAAGGAAGGGAGAGGAGAGGAGAAAGAGATCTTGATTTACTGATCACTTACATGTACCAGACACCCTGCCAGTAGGACATCCTGCCAGCAGGACTGCATACGGTTTTTTCTTTGTCTTCATTTTTTGATTGACTCCTATTCTTCCCTCAAATCTCATTTCAAGTGTTACTTCTTAAAAGTGGAGCTTTCCCAGACTTGACTAAATCTACCTGTCAAATTCTCAGGGTGGAGGGTTTAGCTCAGGGGTAGAACATGTAGTTGGCATGCATAACATCCTAGATTTAAACCCCAGCACCTAATGGTGACATAATGGTTTTATTATTTCAGAGGGAAGAGTAGATACGAAATGGAACAAAGAAGTGACTGTCGAATAGGATTTCTGAGTCGCTAATGCAGGATTGAAAGCCAGACTTTGTCAAGTGAAAAAGGGCTTTAAAACTTCCTTCAGCATGCATTAATTTACTAAGAAACAGAACTGGTGGGTGGGAAGTTTCTCCTGATTGAAAGAATACAGAAAATATGAAGAAAATCCTTGCCATAAGGGAAGAGAAAAGAGGGCAGCAGGCTACTTCTGATCCAGTGTTTTATGGGAAAGAAGATGGTATGTGGAGATGGTATGATGGTAGTGGAGTCAGGTATTAAGAATCCAGTAACCTGGCTTCCCACTCCAACCTCCACCCTAGTGTTTCTGTTTATCTAGTTCCAACTCTTATCATACTTCTCTATGTCGCGAGGAATAGTTGGGTGGAGTATTAATGGTTTTCCATTGCACTTGGGGTAAAGTCCTAATTCCTTACCATAGCCTATAAAACCTTATATGATTTGGCTCTTATGTCAGGATTTTCACAACCATAGTAGCTTAGCCAAATAAGGGTTTATTTTTCTCATTAGCCCAGAAGCAAGATATCCAGGATGGGTGCAACTACTTGAGGAAGTCATAAAAGACTCAGGGTCCTTCTTACTCCCTATTCTGCCATCCTCGTGTGTGGTTTTTGCTATTATGGTATCAGGATGGCTACTCCTTCTCTAGAAATTGTCCTCCTTTCAAGCAGAATAAAGGAGGGAGGGGAAACAACAGTTAATAATTCCTGCCAAATGAGCGAGTCTTTTTTCACTAGGAGAATAATAGCCTTCCCAGAAGATCTACACAGCAGGCTGCACATTCATCTCACTTTCCAGGGAGGGTCAAATGGCCCTTTTAACTGCAGGGATCTTGGTGAAGTAAATTTTTAACTGGACACATTTCTACATGACGTGGAAGAAGGGAGAGTGGGTAAATGGGTATTGGGATGCAGCGAGCTGTGTCAACCATACTGGCCCTCTCTGGCTTCACTGCAGATCATGATTTCCCTGGCTTACTAGTGTGCTTTAGCACGTTGACATTTCTCTTTCTTGATTATGGCCAAGCTCTTTCCTGTCTCAAAGATTTTTGCACTTACAGTCCTCTCTGGAATGCTCTTTCCCCAACTTTTCAAGTGGCTGGCAACTTCACAAGTCTTAGGTATCTTTCAAAATGCATCCTCCTCAGAAAAGCCTTCTTGGACACCCCTCTCTTGTAATCTAAAGAAGCCATATCTGCTTCAATTATTCTTTTCCACAGCAAGTTGTCTATTTCCTTCATTGCACTGTAATCCCCAGTTTGTTTACTTAACTTAGGGTTGATTCCCTTCCTCTAGAAAGTAAGCTTCATGAAAGCATGGCCTTGTCCATTTTGTTCATTAAGGGGTTCAGAATGAGTCTCCCTTAAATGTGCCACTTTTGCACATGAATTATTTTGAGGTGAAGACAACTGAGGATCAAAAGACTCAGGAAGAGCTTTTTTACCACCCCCTTAACTGCCTAAAAGAATTCAGATAGAGGGCTTGGTCCAGAAAGAGGTATTACCAGAGATAACTACAAGAGTGTGAGCTGGGGGGAGTTCAGTGGACCTGTTTGTTCAAATTCCTTGCTGTATCCCATTGTCTCTGCATGTGGCATGACAAACTGTTTACCAAACATGTGCTCTTCCCATTTTCCTATGAATTGTCTTCCTTCCCTTTGAAGATCCAGATGCCTACCTTCTTCTCCTTAGCTCAGAATGGCCTATAAGCTTTAATTGCCTGATTGCCTTTGACCCTCTCATGTCTGTGTGACATGTGGGCTCCTGTGTGTATGAAATCGAATTTGTTCTTCTCCTGCTAATCCGTCTTAATTAATAAATAAGACCAAAAAACCTAAAAGGGTAGAAGAAAAAATTTTCCTCCCGACTTTCACAGTTGTATTCCTGGCATCTAGGGCAGTGTTTGGTAAATAGTAAGTAATCAGTTAACATTTGTTATATACAAAATGAATGGAAAAAGGGGGAGATAGTTGGAATTCTTAATCATTCTTGTTTTTAGCATACTTATCAATTTCAGTAATTACGTACACGGCTTTCCTATTTAAAAATATTTATTTCTCAGTCTCTTGTGCCTGTCTCACCAACTATTATGAGATGCACTTAAATGATGGTATCTGGCTTCTAAATAAAAATATAGAATAAAAAACAAAAGCCCTCACTTTCTTAAGTTCTGATGACACCCATTTAATTTAGGATGTGGGTAGATGGCCAATAATATAAAATAGTAAATATTCAAGATGGCATTTCAGTTCTGCCCAAGTGGGCTGCAGCACACACACACTACAGTCTTGCAGACTGGGGAATGCATGTCCCTGAAGAGAGGAACACAGGAGACCCCGCTGTCTGAGCTAACTGTGGTGCAGTCTCAGTGCAAGGGAGTTGGTTTTGTTTGCATAGTTGTGTGTTTGTACAGTTGTTTGCTTAGTTCTTTAAACTAAGTCAACTCCAACTTTCCCTTAAAGAATGTAGAGTCGGAAGACTAGGGCTGGAAGAACTTCCTATGTGAACTCCTTTCTGTTTCTCCCGTTCTTTGATCAGAGGTTTTGTGACTCACTGCCTTACTCTTCTTCTCCCTAAAGACTAATTTGTCAGTTGAACTAATTTGAGCTGAATCTTTTTAATAGAGCCTGCCCAATACATTTCCAGTGTTAAAAAAGGAACAAGTTCAAAACAAAGTCACTTATGTTAAGTCCCACATAAACAAACCAAAACTCAATACTTAATTGCAGTTTCAGCTGCTCCTGGAATTGTGATTTTAAACCAATCAGTCTGGAATTTCCTGATCAACATTAGTGCAGTAATCAGCATGATAAATTCCTCCCTTTTTCCCAAAGAAAGGTGACTGTGCCTGAAATAATCCTTTCTTTTCTTTTTCACTTCCTTGTCCCACTCCTTCCTGACTTTAAAAACCTTCCATTTGTACAGCTCCTTAGAGCTCCTTTCTATTTATTAGATAGGATGCTGCCTGGTTCATGAATTATTTAATAAAGCCAATTATTTTCAGATTTACTCAGTTGAATTTTGTTTTTTAATGACAGTTTAAACAGAGGTTAATAGCTGTTACCAACATTGAAAGCGAAGTTTATAAGATTACAGGAAGCCAAGTCCTTTTATTTTTTAAAAGGCAAGCATATTTTAATAATAGTACTTTGCTAACTGGATAAATTATTAAAGATAAACAAAGCTGGATATTACTTACAGTGGTAAGTACATATTTTATTCAATAAACACTACACTATGAACTGAATCCACTTCCCTGAAACAGAAGACTGGAAACTTTTCAAAGGCTTAAGTGTGCTAAGGGAAAGGCACTAAGGGGTGGTAAGGGGGTAGGTGGGTGAACCATGTGACTAGGCCATCTGGTCTGTTAATTGACATTTGTCAGAGGAGAAACAAACTTCTCCTATCTTTATGACAGGAGGCAGTAGTGCAAGCTGAAGAAAGGCACCCACTGAAGTTAGGTCCTTATCCTCTGCCAAGGATGTGGAGGTAGCACAGTTATCTTCCTGAATATTTGCATTTTAAAGACAGGGGCTCTCAGGGCCTTAAGGAAACAGTTCTGAGTGGTAGATTTATATCACAAAGGGCAGAGAAAGGATTTATATTTGCAAGCTTTCTAAAGAAACTGCTCCAAGAAAGGGGTCTCGGATCTGTCTGCCTATCCTGGTTTTGCCTGGAACAAACAGTAAATTCTGGCAGTGTTGAGCTCTTCTAGGCAGGTATTTTATAGAGGTGGGGATAGGGGCACTGGGATTATCCTAGGGACAAGGCTTTAAGCTGTTAGAAGCCATATCAGAGCAATGAAATAAAATTTATATTTTAAGGCACAAGAAAAAAATTAAACATAAAATTGTTTGTTTGGATCTCCCTCCCTAATGTGCAGCGTGCCTCTGCATTACACTTAACCAGAACTTCTCAAAGATGGGAGTGCCTGCTCAATCTTAAAGATCAGTTTGTTCCCTTTATTCTGACGCTAACAATGAAACTTCTTAAAAGAATAATGTTTCTTCCCACTTTGTGTGTGTGTGTTGGAAGGGGGGGGGTCCGTATTGACTCAATGGCCTTGCAGCGGCTTACCTGGACTACGTATCTCTGGTGAACTTCATGTGAAATTTCAGTATGTCATTTTGCTGTATGATCCTTTGACTCAAAAACGTATGACTGAGCCTTCGTCTTCTAACGAAGCTTTCTGAGAATCTGCTTCCCAGGTTAAAATCTTCAGTTTGGCTCCAATAAAATTCCCTTTTTTCTTCTTAACTTAGTAGTTAATTGAATGTTCGCTGACAAGAGTTTGGTCAAGTCTCTTAGTGCAGACGTTTAGATGCCAAGAGCTCTACGCCTTCAGCACAGTTGTTAAAAGTTTGGTAAATCTGGCTTTTGAAATCGTCAAAAGTTTTACAATGTATACCACACCACTGAAACAATGGATTGTGTACTAGAAGTTAAATTTTCGAAGATATTAATAAGATATTATCAAAGATGAAAACCAGATCACAAACTGTTTTGGATAATCTTGATTTCCAACTTTCAGTTTGGCAGTGTGACTAATTTTTGCCTCTTGAGTTATCTCGTGTGTGGCCCTGTTCCTCCTCCAGGCTATGTGCGGGTTTGCCAGGGCCACACCCGTCGAACTTCACTCATTGCATCCCCAGATACGAGGACTGTAAGTCTCCTCCCTACCTCCTTTTCCTGTAACCACTTATTATTCAGATATGACTAGGACGCGCGTGCTTCACTACGTCAGGGCCTGTAATCTCTTTCTGCCGAAAAAACCAGGACAACACACTTCTCTCTGACCCCTTGCTTTCTTCTCCCTTCTAATTTTCTTCGTCTCCTTTCACTTCCTCCTTTCTTTTCCGCTTTCTCGGTACCACAGCCGCTCCCCACACCTCCACCTCGTCGCAAATGCGCCTCAGCCAGACTAGGAAAACGAGGAAGGCAAGCGCTACGAAGCCGGCACTGTCTTCGCTTTGCGACACGGCCGTAAAGTGCGTCACGCACCGGGGACGTCGCGACCCGCGAGGCTGTTTCCCCTGACGGCGGACGCCAGCGCTGGGAGCGTTAGGGTAGAGGTGTGCTGTCATTTTGAGAGAGCTTTTGTTCTCTGTGTTGATAAGACAGATATAGCTACTCCTTCTCCGGAGCGGGAGGGCGAGCAGGTCCCAGCGCTCGCTGGACTCCCGGGCTGGGGCGCGGGGCTGTGACGCGGGCGGAGGCTGCGGCCCAAACTAAGAGCGCTCGTTCCCACGCTGATGGCCGGACGCGTCCTGGGAACGACTTTAGCCACCGTGTCTCTCTCTGTGGCCTTGGCCTCTGTGACTGTCAAGTCCTCGGGCAGTTGCAGCATCCCGGCGTGCAGGTATTTTCTCTTCCAGTGCTAGCGGCTCCTCCCAACTCCTTGGGTTGCGGGTAGGAACCAGTTTGTGGATTCAGTAGGCTTTGCCTGCTTCCTGGAGTTTTACAGCCATGTATGCGTTTTTAAAAGGCTCTAAAATGTTTTATGTGCCTTTTAAGAAAAGCAAGTGGTAGTGACTTTTCTTATGGTATTGAAATTTGCCATCCTCCATGACTCACTAACACACAACATTATTGCCCCCTAGAGGGTTTAAATAGCTCTTGTTTGGGTGTGGTGTTGTCCCTTGCCATGTATTTTCTTTTGTTTAATACTTAAAACATTATTATTAAAATAGTACACGCACGAAGTTTAAAGATGTGAACAGTATAAATGGTGTAAAATTAAAAATATAAGCCGTCATTCCTCTCCTGTACTTATACATTTCTGTGTAGATAATATATATTTATTATTTACCTTTTTAAATTTGCCTTGTATTAATTTAGGGATTTACAGTATCTTATACACCCTTCTTTTATTCCTCCCTCCTTCAGGTTTCTAACCACAGTGTCCTAGGTACCACTCTAGACACAGAGTAATAAATATTAAGAGGCTGCTTCTAGGAGTGGGGTTTTTTTTTTTTTTAGTGCTTTTTGCTTGGTATGTCATGTTTACTTTAGACGCAAGGACATTTTCTTCTATTTGTCCCCCCCCCCCCCATTTTTCTCTTGTCCTGTCCTTTTTCCCCCTGGACCTTCTGGCTAAAGCCTCTGTTTCTCTTTTTCTCTCATTTTCTATTGGTTTGTCTTTTTGTACGATGTTCTTAGAGATTGTCCTCAAATTTATCTTCCAGACTACCAATTCAGACTTCAGTACTGTGCAGTCCATTAGTCATCTCTTCTGTATTTGACAGTAATCTTTTCTTATTTATTCAGTTTTACTGAGATATAGTTGACGTACAGCACTGCTTGAGTGGAAGGATAATAATTTGACTTATATACATCATGAAATGATTACTGCAGTAAGTTTAGTGAACAGCCTTCATCTCATACAGATACAAAATTAAAGATACAGAACAAAAATTTTTCCCTTATGATGAGAACTCTTAGGATTTACTCTCTTAACAACTTTCATATGTAACATACAGCAGTGATAATTATATTTATTGTGTAATATACTATATCCCTAGTACTTATTTGTCTTCTAACTGGAAGTTTGTACCTTTTGGCCATCTTCATCCAGTTTTCCCTCCCCAACCCCTGCCTCTCTGGTAACCATGAATCTGTTCTCTTTTTCTATGAGTTTGTTTTTGAAGTATAAAGGATCTACAACACTTTGTTAGTTCTTGGTATACACCATAATGATTTGATATTTCTATACATTTCAAAATGACCACCATGATAAATAACTCTAGTTGCTGTCTGTCACCATATAAAGATAATACATAATATATAATCATAGAGGCGTTCACAAAAGCAGTTACGTTGACAGCTTCTATCCCTCAAAGATTTCCGTCACAACTTATCACTTATAGTTTCCTTTAAATTTTAACCAAAACTGGATTAAAGTATTTGGGGGTTTTGATAACTTTAATTCATCTCTATATTCTCCACACTGTACATTTCACACATGTGACCCATTTAGTTTGTAACTGAAAGTTTTTTCTCTTTTTTGGGGGTAGGGCAGTAGGTAATTAGGTTTTTTTTTTTTTTTTTTTAATGGAAGTGCTGGGGATTGAGTTTAGGATCTCGTGCATGCTAGGCACACTCTCCACCACTGAGGTATACCTTCCTTTTGTAACTAAGTTTGTAGCTCCAGCTCCCTCATCTATTTCTCTCCTCCCACCTACCCCCCACCCCTTTGGTAAATACCTATTTGTTCTCTGTATCTATGACTCTGTTTTTGTTTAGTATGTTTGTTCATTTGTTTGTTTAGATTCCACATATAAATGAAATCATAGAATGTTTGCCTTTCTCTGTCTGATTTATTTTACTTAGCATAATTCCCTCTAGGTCCATCCATGTTGTTGCAAATGGTAAGATTTCATTCTTTTTATGGCTGAGTAATATTCCATTGTATATATATATACCACATCTTTATTCATTCACCTATAAATGGGCACTTAGGTTGCTTCCATATCATGGCTATTGTAAATAATGCTGCAGTGAACATAGGGCTGCATATATCTTTCGGAATTAGTGTTATTGTTTTCTTCAGATAAATACCCAGGAGTGGAGTTGCTGGATTGAATGGTAGTTCTCTTAATTTTTTGTTTTCCATGGTGTCTGTACCAGCTTACATTCCCACCAACAGTACATGGAGTTCCCTTTTCTCCACATCCTCTCCAACACTTGTTACCTGTTGTCTTTTTTTTTTTTATCACAAGAATGTGATCAAGAATGCAAAGTTCTTAGGTTGGATGGTAAATTCCCAGGGATTGATTTTATTATGTTTTCTAACTTACACACACACACACACACACACATTTTTAATGATACTGGGGATTGAACCCAGGACCTTGTGCATGCTAAACATACACTCTACAACTGAGGTATACCTCCCCTCAACTTACATATACATTGACAACATTTTTTCCCGAATTGCTCTCTTTTATAGCAGTGTTTTCTTATTTTATGGATATAAAATGTCTTTTGAATCTATGAAAATGATAATTAGAATAAAAAATTATCTTTTACTTTTTGAATTGATTATTTTGGGTCAGTGGTTCTGTTCCTTTTTGGTCCTTTTTCCTTTTTTTTCCAAACATCTGGTAAATGCCCATTATTTATATTTTGATTAATGTAGGTATTATTTTCTCTAAATTGGAGGACTACTTGAATATTGGCTCCTTCTGCCAGTACACCTAGACTGGAAGGTTTCAGTTGGGGATGTGTGGGCTGGTACCAGGTGGACAGACTGGGAACGTCCCTCTTCCCCTTTCCTTCCAGGCTTTACACTGGAGCAACTTCTCTGTTGGGCATAGCTGCGTTGACTGTTACCTCCTCATTGTGAATTGTAGAGATATTAAGCCTAAGTTTCTACTGTGTTCTTCAATACCAACATTCCCAATAGAGGTTCTAGTCCTTCATTTTCTTTAAATTTTGGTTTTTATCCTAGGGGCAGACAGCTAACGCTGGCTTCTCATTTGAAGGATAGGGAGGGAGGAGGACTGATTTCCGTGGTTACTGTTACACTGCCTACTTAACATTTGGGCCCACTTATTTCAAGCTTGAAATCTTTCAGGCCTCCTCTTGTAGGAAGGGCATCTCTCCTTCACCTTTTTGTGTGTATTCTCAAATATAATGTGTTCTACTTTGGTTTGTAGGTCAATATGATTCCATCTACTTTTTATCTTCCTGAAATTGGTTAAAATCTCCTTCACTGGTGGTATCCTATTCTCTCTTCTGCTGTGGATTTTGTTGCCTTTTATACATCTTTATCTCTTTTCAGTGAAATTGGGAAGGGAAGAAATAAACATCTAAACTCTCTGAAGTCACTAGTGCTATTTCTGATAGATACCACTAGAACAATGGAATACTGCTTAGCAATTATTCTTCATTTTTAGAATGCTGGGGACCCTACGTGAAGTGGGATATATCTAAAACCAGTGACTGCTTACTGGCATGAGAGAAAAAGCCAAAAGTTAAGACAACAAGTCTGTGCTGAGTGTCTGGTATATTATATTACAAAGCATCCTGGAAAAGACAGAAGAAATTTATCATCAAGAATTTTACCACACTTAGAAAAGAGAGCCCTCCTACACTGTTGGTGGGAATGCAGTTTGGTGCAGCCATTATGGAAAACAGTATGGAGATTCCTCAAAAAACTAAAAACAGACTTATCACATGATCTAGCAGTTCCACTCCTGGGCGTATATCCAGAGGGAACTCTAATTCGAAAAAATACATGCACCGTAATGTTCATAACAGCATTATTTACAATAGCCACATCATGGAAACAACCTAAATGTCCATCAACAGATGACTGGATAAAGAAGCTGTGGTATATTTATACAATGGAGTACTACTCAGCCATAAAAAAGAATAATGCCATTTGCAGCAACATGGATGGACCTGGAGATCATCATCCTAAGTGAAGTAAGCCAGAAAGAGAAAGAAAAATACCATATGATATCACTCATATATGGACTCTAAAAAGAGAAAAAAGAAGACACTAATGAACTTATCTACAAAACAGAAACAAATTCCCAGACATAGTAAATGTATTATGGTTACAGGGTCCAGGAAAGGAGGTGAGAAGGGATAAATTGGGAGCTCAAGATTTGCTAATATTAACTAGTATATATAAAATAGATAAACAGGTTTCTTGCACAGAGAACTATATTCAGTATCTTATAGCCTATAATAAAAAAATACGAAAATAAATATATGTATGTATGTGTATGACTAAAACATTCTATACACCAGAAATAATTGATGCATTGTAAACTGATTATTATTCAATTAAAAAAAAAGAAATTTTACTACACTTTGATAATTTGTGTGAAACTAGAAAGTCACAGTTTTGCAGTTGGCTTGCGATTTGACTAGAAAGTTGTAAATGACTATTTTCTAGAAAAAAAATG